TGAGAACCACGGCAAGGGTAGGTACCTCGGTTGCAGTTGGTTCCCGGCCCCGGTTGGGGTTGTGTGGGTGGCAACCACTTGATGTGTCTCTCTCACATCGATGTTTCTCTCTCTCTTCCTCCCTGTCTCCTTCCCACTCTATCTGGAGATAAATGCAAAAAAAAAAGTGTCCTCGGGTGAGGATTAAAAAAAAAAAAAGAACAGAGTCATGGTATACACTGAAGCTCACATGGGTCCCAGTTCTTCAAGCCACCTGGAGAAAAAATCTTTTGAGTTTCGTAAGCAGAGTAGTCAGGAAGCTGATGCTGACTGGCTCCTTTCACAGCCTGTGACTCAGTGATGATTTAAAACCAGTAACAAGTCTTTCCCATTAATCGAGTGCTGCCTCGAAGAATAAGGTAAGTCTCCTTATTCACTAATTCCGAATTCTGAAATCAGGACAAGGTCACTTTCAAGTTCACCATGAATATTTTAATAATGGAAACAAAACATCACAGGTAAGAGACCCACCCTTCCTCCAGTTCCAAGGAAAACAAATAAATTTGGAACACTGGGTGTAACTACAAAATGTCTTAAAAGATGACACTGGAGTCCAGCCGGTGTGGCTCAGTGGTTGAGCATCGCCCCATGCTCCAAGAGGTCACTGGTTCGATTCCTGGTCAGGACATATGACCAGGTTGTGGGCCAAATCCCCAGTGGGGGGCATGCTGGATGCGACCAATGGCTTATCAATGTTTCTATCTCTCTCTCCCTCTACCTTCTTCTCTCTCTAAAATCAATAAAGGAAAAAAAAAATTTTTAAAGATGACACTGGAGATTTTACTAGCATAATCCTTCCAAGCAGCAGCTAGATTTTTATAATACCGTTGGTATAACTTTTTCTACACCTATAAATTTTTTATCCCCTTCTATATTTCTCTGTATTAAGCTAGACCATTTTTTTGTTTTACTTTTCTCTCTCTCTCTTTTTTTTAAGGTTTCATATTGATTTTTAGAGAGAGAAGAAAGGAGAAGGAGAAACACCCATCGGCTGCCTTCGAATGCCACCTACTGGGGGACTGAGCCCACAACCCGGGCATGTGTCCTGACCTGGAACAAACCAGCAACCCTTTGGTGCACAGGATGACAGCCAACCAACTGAGCCACACCGGCCAGGGCAAGCTAGACAATTTTTGTGGACAAAAATTCCACAGCATGTTTTATATTTTATTTCCCCTTTAACATACATGCACAATTACATCATTATGGCTATTTCACAGGAAGAAACTGTTCCCACCACTACAGTGAATCTGCCTTCTCCCTGATTACCAATGACCACCTAATTGCTAAATCCAAGGGCAACTTCTCACTCTTCACACTCTCATGTTTCTGTAACAGAGAACGCTAGTAATTACTTTTCTGCTTCTAAGAATTTTTTTCCTTTGGCACCCATGACTCAACGCTCTCCCAGTTCTCCTATCTCACCGACTATTCAATTCAGCTTCCTTTACCAAATCTACTTCCTCCTCCTGCTACTGAAACAGTCCCAAGATTCTGTCCTCAGCCTCTTCTCCCACTAGTCTCCACCCACCTGATCTAACCCATTTCCACGGCTTCCCTGTCTGTGTCCAGCCCTGGCCTCTCACAAACGCTACATGTGCACTTCAGCTGAACACAGGACAGCGCCACAAGGATGGCCCAAGTGTACCAAATGCCAAATATACCAAGCACATCATCATGCACTGTGGCCCAATTTGTTCATCATCCTGTCATTCACTCACACACACAGACACACCACTTAGGTGAGTACTTACTCTGGGACCACCCATTATGTTAAATGCTTCACATACATCAACTACTATAATCCTCCCAAGAGTCGAATGAAGAAAGTAGTTATCCCTATTTTAAAGATGGGGACACCCAAACAGAGAGATTAAGTAATTTGTTCAAGGTCACATAGCTAAAAAATGGTAGAGCCAGGATTCAAACCAGGCTGATTTCAAAGGCCATGCTTTAAACAACTGCACTATATTACCTCCCAATTGCTCAGGCATGAAACTCATCTATATTTCTGCACAGCAAGGCACTATGAGCTTGGTCCTGTGACCTCCGGGTCCCTCCGATCTGGCCTTCTTTTCCATTCTCACTGACACTACTATTCTTCAGTCCTCAATACCACTTAACTTCTCTTAACTTTCCATCTCCCATCTCTCCGTATTTCATCTATTCACCTATCACTCTCTTGCTCAAAAATCATCAGTGGCTCACAAGCTCCCTACTGACTACAGGTTAAGTCAAAATTCTTCCCAGCCTCATCTACCACCACTCTTCTTCACAACCATCATGTTTCACTTAGGAAGGATATGTGTCATCCTTTCTGACTGCCCAGCATCTAACCCCCTTCTTATGTCTGGGGAATTCCCTACCTTCCAATGTTGGAGCTAGAAATGCAAATATACCCTTTTCAAGCCTCCTTTGCAGCTAGCTTATGGCACCTGACCTAAGCCATACCAATTAGATGCATCATCCCAACTGAGAGTTGGAAAGTGGGCACCACAGAGAACTCCCCTTGGGAGCAAGAACAGCTGCAGGAAGATCAGGAAGAGTCCCTGGGCAGCACCCAGTGTGCAGAGCCAGAGGTGTTCCTCAGTACGAGTGCAACACCGACCCTCCTGTGGCAGCAGCATTTCCTTTGTGGGTCCTCACTGGAGGGACCAGTAGAGTTCCATCCTTCACATTTGATTTTTAGGATATTGAGGTGATTCTGTGAACTACCCAACATCCTTTTTAAACATTCCTTTTTGCCTTAAATCATGAATCCTGGTGTCTCCCAGGAAGCATCCTTCACTCATCTCAGAACATGCCCTCTGCTTTCCTGTCTCATATAACCTTGCCCACTGTTTCTTCCACCCAGAATTCTTCTCTATTAGTCAAAACTCACCCCATCTTTCAAGACCCAGCACAAGTACTGCTTCCCCATAAATACAATAGCTAATATTTAACGAGCACTAAGGACCAGGCATTCTTTTCACGGGCTCTTCACAAATACAGTAGGAGGTAAATACCAGCATTGGCCCTATTTTACAGTTGAGGAAAATGCAACAAAAACAAATTAAGAAAATTGGCCAAGGTCATGCATCTAGTGAACAGGTGATAGAGCCAGAATTCAAATCCAGGAAATCTGACTCCAGCCCCCTGTTCTTAATCAGGGAACAGCAAATTATGGCCCATGAGTCAAATCTAGTCCAGCAGCCAGAAATGACTCACAGCATGTTTTTATACACCCGTGATCTAAGAATAGTTTTCACATTTTTAAGTGGTTGGGAATAAAAATAAAAAATTTCATGACCCATGAAAATTATATAAAAATTCGCATTCTAACATCCATTTCACTGAAGCACAGCAGGACAGTGTCTATGCCGCTTTCATGCTTCCACAGCAGAGCTGAGTACCTGCGACCGACAGCGGGGCCCACAAAGCCTCAAATGTTTACTGTCTGGCCCTTCAAGCCTCTGCTTTTTTGCCTGGCTGGTGTGGCTCAGTGGACTGAACGTTGTCCCATGAACTAAGACGTCCCAGTTAGATTCCCAGTCAGGGCACATGCCCAGGTTGTGGGCCCGATTCCCAGGGCGGGGCATGCAGGAGGCGGATAATCAATGTTCTCTCTCATCAATGTTTCTATCTCTCTCTCTCCCGCTCCCTTCCTCTCTATAAAATAAATAAAGGGGGGGGGGGCGGGTTTCCCTAACATGAACAAGGATCATAGAAGTCATAGTCAGGACTGTGTTGGCAAGATGGGTAATAAAGGGCACCCTCAGCCACTACTGGTAGGTGTACAAATTGGTACAGCCTTTCTGAAGGGCAATTCTGCCTTGTTCATCTAACACCTTGGAAGTGCATTTCTTAGTACTTGGAATTCTACTGTATCCTCAGCAAATACGCAGACTAGTTGCAAAAATGTATGTAGTCATGGGAGTTAACACATTTACTGAGTACATATTACATGCTGCACACTGAGTTAAGTCCTTTAAATGCAGAATCTCACACCCTTTAGAGCAGTGGTTCTCAACCTTCCTAATGCCGCGACTCTTTAGTCCAGTTCCTCATGTTGTGGTGACCCCCAACCATAAAATTAATTTTGTTGCTACTTCATGACTGTAATTTTGCTACTGTTAAGAATCGCCATCAAAAATACGTGTTTTCCGATGGTCTTAGGCGACCCCTGTGAAAGGTTCATTTGACCCCCAAAGGGGTCACGACCCACAGGTTGAGAACCACTGACTTAGCGGTAACATTATTATGAGCTCTGTTTTATAAATGAGGAAATTAAAACCCAAAAAGTTAAATCATTTGTCCAAGGTTAAGGGATTACATATGACTCGTTTTTAAGGGGAGGACTACAGCTGATTTTAATTTTGGTATTATGAGCCTTTTCTAAATTTACTACTATAATAAGCATGTATTACAGGTATAATTTTATATGGCAGTAAGACAGCACGCAACTTTACTCCTCTATTTGTTTTCCTTTGGAAGCTTAAGAAAAATAGCCCAGAACAAAACAAGCAAAGTCCTTTTTCATTCTTTGGAAAGTACGGTTAAAAGTCACCATCCTGGACTTTGAAACAAGAATAGTATTTCCTTACATAAAACAGCCTTGAAAACATTCTAGATCCTATGTGTTTCCCATATAGCATCATTCAGCCAGTTCTAATGGTTTTACCAATAGGCAAGTAGAGAAAAAATTATGTTGTGACTTATACTGAATAAATATTCTTTGGATATGAGGATAGATTCATCTATAATTACAACAACTTAGAGAAGAAGAGTCCAACCGTGTCTGCAAACCTCCAGGGATATCATATGATCCTAAATCACTAAGTTTTGTACTTTTTTTGGATTCAAGCTGTTTTGCCTCTGTTCCAAAAAGACTAGTCGAGGATCACCTTCCGTATCTACACTGAACACAGATGCTTCCCAGTCAGAGCTAGTAAATGTGAGGTTGGCCCAGAGCCACGCCTTACCTCTTCCGGCACAATGATTAGTGGATACTTGTCCTCAGATAGAAAGTTGAAAATAACCCACACTTTGAATGAATCTTCTTCCATAATGATCAGGGGACTCTTTGTGAGGTTTTTTTTGAAACAGAGGGTCCAGCACATCCTATTGAATTCAATCTTGTCAAAGTTGTCTTGGACCTAAAAAGGAATGAGGAAAAATTCCAATGAACCAGTCCAAAATAAGGAATATAAAATGAGCCAAGAAAAACCAAGACAAAGCCTATTATATAACCAATCCAATTAACCAATTACCATGTTCAGAGTATATACTTAGATGCCACACTTTCTATTTTTTTATCGTCACCCGAGGACATTTTTCCATTTTTTGTTCAGATAGAGTGGGAGGGAGGGAGAGGAAGAGAGAGAGAGAAACATCGACATGAAAGGGACACATCGAGTGGCTACCACCCGCACAACCAACCAGGGCCAGGGACAAACTGCAACCGAGGTACGTGCCCTTAGCGGGAAACGAACCCGGGTCTCTCTGGACCGCAGGCCGAGGCTCTAACTGCTGAGCCAAACCGGCCAGGGCTAGATGCCACACTTTCAAAGGCTCAGCTGAGAATGTTATATTTAGCCTCACACTAAAGCAGTATCTGCTCACATCACTCACTTGGTACACAAAATACTGACTTGTCTGCCCTGGACAGGTGGCTCAGTTGGTTGAGTGTCATCCCATACACCAAAAGGTTACAGGTTCAGTACCAAGTCAGGACACATACCTAGGTTTTGTGTGCAATCTCCAGCAGGGGCATGTACAGGAGGCAACAGATTGATGTTTCTCTCTCATGTCTCTGCCCCTCCCTCTCTCTTTAAAATCAATAAAAACATATCCTTGGGTGACAATTTAAAAAAAATACTGGCTAGCTGGTGTGGCTCAGTGGATTGAGCATAATCCCATGGACTGAGAGGTCCTAGTTTGATTCCTGGTCAGGGCACGTGCCCAGGTTTCGGGCTCGATCCCCAGTAGGAGGCATGCAGGAGGCAGTCAATCAATGTTTCTCTCACATCAATGTTTCTATCTCTCTCTAAAATAAAAATCAATTTAAAAAAATACTGACTTGTCAAATAGTTGTTTTTTTCATGTGTACACAATATCTTCTAAATAGACTACCAACCCTGGGAGTCAAGAGGAATTGAGGATGTCCATTACTCAAGATAAGCCACATGCAGACACCTCATCTTCACCTATACAGTCAAAGAAGATACTTTCTCTTGGGAAACACTGTTTAACTGAAATTCTAAAAGACAACCCTGCCATTCAGTCATCCATTCAACATTGCCACAGCCTCTACAATGAGCCAAGTACTTTGCTACAAATTAAAAATATAAAGATGAAGAACTTGGTCTCTCCTCTTAGTATGTTCATAGTTTATTAGGAAAAAGAGATATGCAAATCAATAAATTTTAATATAACACAGTGTATAATGCAATAGTTTTTCACTAATTCAACAGATAAAATTTATATGGTAATTATTCTTTGCCAGGGACAATGCAAAGACATTTAATATAATGCTATCCCATGTCTCCAAGGAATGGAAAGACAATTACAGTATAGTGTCTCTGTCTGGTTTTGTGGGAACACTGAGAAGCTAATGCAATCGTAAGAATTGGGGAAGATTTGCAGAAAGAATGACAACAGAGCCCTGGCCGGTTTGGCTCAGCGGTTAGAGCATCGGCCTGCGGTCCAGAGAGACCTGGGTTCGGTTCCCGCTAAGGGCGTGTACCTTGGTTGCAGTTTGTCCCCGGCCCTGGTTGGTTGTGTGGGTGGCAGCCACTCGATGCGTCCCTTTCACGTCGATGTTCCTCTCTCTCCCTCCCACTCTATCTGAACAAAAAATGGAAAAATGTCCTCAGGTGAGGATTAAAAAAAAAAAAAAATGACAACAGAGCTGAGTTCTAGAGAACCATCCAGAGTCAAACAGTTCAAGAATTGAGTAGAGTGTCCCAAGTAGGATGGAATATAAGAAAGCCCAGCCCTACCAGTGTGGCTGATTGGTTGAGCATCGACCCATGCACCAAGAGGTCACTGGTTCGATTCCCGGCAGGACACATGCCCGGGTTGTGGGCCAGATCCCCAGTGAGGGGCATGCAGAAGACAGCCATTCCATGTTCTCTCTCATCAATGTTTCTATCTCTCTCTCATTCTCCCTCCCCCTCTCTCTACAATCAATAAAGGGGAAAAAACTTTTTTTAAAGAAAGCCCACAGGTGGAGACAACCACGGTCAGTTTGGAAGAACTATGGGAAGTCTAATGTGAAACAGGCCCCTGGCGCCAGAAAATTGTATGAATTGAGGCTCTTCGCAGTGCGAATAACAGAAAGTATTTTGGGTTCCTTTAAACAGAAAAGGAATTTATTGAAAAAACAATGGGTAACCTCAAAGATCAAACACAAGCACTGGAAAATCTAGGCTCCAAATCTAAGCAGCTACAAGCTAGGCGAGGCAGTCAGAACCGTGGAGAAAAATACTCACAGGGATAGCAGGGGGAGACACACTGCCAATGTGACGTCCCCACCACGAGGCCATCACTGTTTCCACTGACCCAGCTGCAGCTTCAAAGTCCCACTAGCTGAGCCTGGGTCACATTCCTTCACTCAGGCCGCCAGGGAACAGGGAAAATGAGTATCTGAACTTTTCAAAATCTGAGATGTGGGTCAGGTCCTGTTCCCCACCCACCAAGACGCTGTGGAATTTCACAGACGTGAGAAAAGAGTTCAGACACTGGGCAGACAAAAAAATGACAACTGACCTCTGCATGGGCATAGTGAAAAATGAGGCTAGAAAAGTAGATGGAGACCAGATCATGAGGAGCCTTAAAATTCATCAGGATTTATCTGTAAAGAGTGAAAGGGAGCAACACACTCACCCGCACTGTAAAAGCCATGTTCTGGCATAATATGGAAGATATAGCGGAAGGGGCAGGACAATATGAGCAAAGCATTTCTTTTTCGAGAAATATAAACCAAGTGTTGCATGTAGCATAGGGAAGAAGTCACTAGCTGGCTGCAGGGAGAAGTTTCTCTTGATCTCCAACTAGAACCTGTGGTTTGTAAACCAGTTCCCCAGGACAGGAAGATACCCTCTGTGCTATGCCTTCAGCACCTGGTCTCCGTCTGGCACCATTTTCCACAGCCCCATCGTACACGGCTGATCCCATGAGGGCCAAGCAGCAACTGCTACTGCAGCATCTCTTCTTTCTTTGTTTTTCTTTTGTGTTTTTGTTTTTTTATCCTCACTCAAGGACATTTTTTCGTTTTTTGTTCAGATGGAGTGGGAGGAAGAGAGAGAGAGAGAGAAACATCGACGTGAAAGGGACACATCGAGTGGCTGCCACCCACACAACCCAACCAGGACACAACCCAACCAGGGCTGGGGACAAACTGCAACCAAGTTACATGCCCTTAGCGGGAACCAAACCCGGTCTCTCTGGACCGCAGGCCAACGCTTTAACCGCTGAGCCAAACTGGCCAGGGCTTTCTTTGTTTTTCTTTAACACCATTTATTGAGGACTTAGTTATATTTGACATTGTATATGCAGTTTCTCCCTTAAACCTCCCTTAAATGTCTCTATTTTACTGATCAGGAAATAGAGGTTCAGAGAAACTACGTACTTTTACCAAGTTCACATGGCTACTAAATATCAAAACCAGAGTCTAAATCAAAGTCCAGATGCTGTCTGTTCCACTATGCCAAACTGCTCATAGAACTCAGTGGATGGACGACATCTACATGATGAAAGACATCTCTGTGGCATTCGTTTGAAAAGCCACCACCATCAACTCTATCTACCCCCTTCCCCCCAAAAACAACGTTAAGTGAAAGCTATGCCACCTGGGAAATGACATGTGCATGAGAGCACACAGCCTTGTTCTGAGGAACCAGAGATTCTGTGTGGATTGTGTGGTGAATTACAGAGTTCCTGGGAGGGAGTGGCTAGCTTTATGGCTGGAAAAAGCAAACACAGAACAAATCACAAAGAACTTTATAATTTTCTTTTTAAATAGCCTATGGGAAACCCCCAACTGAAGGATTTTGGAGCAGAGAACAAGCGTCATCTGCAGCCCAGATTACTACTTTGCAGAAAAGATGGTATTTGAGGTGATCCTTGAAGTATACTGAAATGCCCAAGGTAAAGTACTCCAAAGGACAGGAACGGAAATGGCATGAGCAAAAAAAGCATGGCAGGAGCAGCACACCAGCCATGTTTAGGGAATAGTCACAGGATGAAGAAGACAAAAACAAGGGCAAAGGAAAGATAAAAGTTTTCAATTTTGATAAGACAATTCTGGCAAGACATTAGATGGAGGTGTCCACGGACAATCGAGAAGTGAAACTAACCTAAGAGGAGAGGCAGATTTGTGAATCAACTGCATGCCAACGGTGACTGACACCGTGTGGCCAGTGAGATCACTGAGAGAGAACGCAGGGAGAAAAGACATGGGATCAGAAACAGGACCTCGGGGGCTACCACAATTGCAAAGCAAGAGGAGGAACAGGAATTAGGATAACTGCAAAGGCAGTCGAAGTGGTAGGAGAACCGCAAAGACATGAGAACTGAGTAAGGAAAGAGTTAAGAAGAAGGTTTGATAAATAGTGTAAAATGCTGCAAGGAGATGAAGGAGAAGTTATTTGAGAAAAGACCACTGGTTTTGCCCTTCAGTTGTCTATGGTTACCTTCAAGACAGCCGAGAAGCATGGGTAAAAGTCTCTCCCTCTCTCCCTCCCTCCCACTCTATCTGAAAAAAATCAATGGAAAAATATTCTTGGATGAGGATTTTTTTTTAATTAATTCAAAATGAAGTAAAGATCTAAATGGAAGACTTCAAACCATAAAACTCCTAGAAGAAAACAAGGAGGAAAGCTTCATGACATTGAAACGGGCAATGATTTCTTGGATATGACACTAAAAGCACAGGCAACAAAAGCAGAAACAGACAAATGAAACTACATCAAACAACAACTTCTGCACACAAAGAAAACAATCAAGAGGTGGACAACGGTGAACCAGTCCTTTCCATCACAGAACTGTATTACCCTCCAAGGGGGGAATCAGATACCAAACAGCACAGCAATAACAGCCTGCAGTAAGTGCTATGAAGGAAAAGCAAAAGACTCTTGAGAACACATTAGAGCAG